CATTCCAGATGTGAACATCAGAATATCCCCTTTATCAGTTATCCCATTTATCCCATTTATCAGTTATCAATCCCATTTATCAGTTATTCCATTTATCCCACTTATGTTATTTATCCCATTTATCAGTTATCCATCCCATTTGTCCCATTTATCACCATTTATCAGTTATTTATCCCATTTATCAGTTATTCAATTTATCCCACTTATGTTATTTATCCCATTTATCAGTTATCAATCCCATTTATCAGTTATTCCATTTATCCCACTTATGTTATTTATCCCATTTATCAGTTATCCATCCCATTTGTCCCATTTATCAGTTTTCCTTAGATAAATGGGGTGAACCATTTATCCATTTACCATCTATGAACCAGCTGCTGTCCCTGTGTTCGGAGCAAAGCTGTGGCTGCCCCTGGATCCCTGGAACCATCCCTGGAAGGGGCTTGGAGCAGCCTGGGATGGTGTCCCTGCCCGTGGCAGGGCTGATCCTTGACTTCCCCTCTGCCCCAAACCATCCCAAGATTCCATCATTTCCCCTGCACTCCTGGGAGAGGAGAGGTTGCTGTGGGAATCCTTTTCCCTGCAGGAGCAAGTCCTCCCTCAGCCCTACAAGAGCAGAGTTGTATGTCTTTGTATCAAATCCCAGCCAGGCTTTCCTCTTCCCTTCACGGGCCTTAAATTACAGTTCTGAATTAGCTCAGTTGTCAGAAATTCATCAGACTTTGCTGTGTGATTAATTTTTCACCGGTGTTTTGGAGGTTTTGCAGGTAAGCTGCAGGTTTAAGGCAGATCATCCCCCCAGCATGCTCAGGGAGGAGCCCCTGGCTCAGCTCCGGGCATTTTTCCTGCAGGGAAAAAGGTAAAAACCTGGCAAAAAGAAGGATGTTTGTGCCTTTTGGCCAGGAATTCCTGCTGGAGATGCCTCTTCCTCCCAGTGCTAGGACACAGAGATGCCCTTTTTGTGGCTGTTGGGACCCCGTGCTGCTGAGTCGCTGCAATTCCCAATTAATTCCCTCTTTCCCACTGGCAAAGGTGAACTTTTCCCCATTGGGAATTGTCCCTGTGTCCAGCAAACTGCATTCCAACAGCTGAAGGTGACACTTCTGGCATTCCTTTGGAGAGGGAGAGAGCCAGGGAATCTTTGGGTTCCAGAATTGCTTCTGAGGCCTCTCCCAGGGCAGGGGGGGCTGTTAAAAGCTGATTAATGATCCGTGATTTCCCAGGCAGCGGCCAGCCTCGGGAATCAAATGGGATAAAAAACAGGGCTGGCATTCTTTTCAAGGCAATTTGTGACGAGCTCTAGAAAACAGCCGGCTCCATCTGGGCCCTTTGGAAATTTGGAAGTAATTGGAGGATTATTAGAGGTTGGAATTAGTCAAAGTGTTTATTTATGGCTTTTTTTTTTTTTTTGGCCTCCATCTGCCCCCTCATTAATCTGGGAATGCAGCTCTGAGCTGGGCTGACAGAGAGTCACAGAGTCATGGAATGGCTTGGATTGGAAGGGAGATTAAGGATCATCCTTAATTGGATGGTTGGGACACCTTCCACCACCCCAGGTTGATCCAAGTGGCCTTGGACACTTTTAGGGATGGGGCAGCCCCAGCTCCTCTGGGTTCCCCATATGCACACAAAGCATTCCCTGGATTTGAAGCGATGGAGAGGGGTTTTACTGGATATTTTGGGGGATTTCTGCTGGAACTGGTGTACCTGCTCAGGTGGGATTTGTGTGCAGGCAGAGCTTTGCTGGTTCCCAGCTCCTGGAGCCCTCGGTGAGGGGGGCTGAGCTGGGAGCAGGGAACAAAACGTTCCAAAGCCTTCTCCTTTGACAAACGGCTGCTTAATTCCATAATAAACAATTCCACTGCAGGCAGCTTGTTTGCTCCCAAGCTGGAGCTGGGAATTTATCCTGCAAATGGATATTAATTGTGGGGAGGACTCGGGAAGGTGGGAGCAGGCCCTTGATGGGCGTGGAGGCTGCGGGTCCTGCTGGGGGGAACAGCTCAGAAAATGAAAACCCTGCTGTGCCAACAGCAGGAATGGCAAGCTGGGAGCCAGGAGAAGGGATATCCATGAGCAAAATTCATGGAAAATAATCCTGGGGTGGTTATCAGAAGGGCTGGCAGAGGTGGGGAGCATGCAACTGATCCTGCTCTTTCTGGGATGGTTTTTAAGATCCCTTCCCACCCAATCCATCGTGGGGTTCTGTTGTTGCTGGAATACAAGTGTGGAACAGCAGAACAACACCGAGAGCTCAGAGCTGGGGCTGAGGCGTTGCTGGGAGAACGGAGCACAAAGGAAAAGCTGGAAAACGCAGCAGAGCTGGAAGAAAAGCTGGGAGTTCATTTCTCGTCCTGACCTCTCAGCTCTGTCTGTTGGCTGACACGTATTCCCAAGAATGTTGGGAATATTGGCTGCTGCTCTTCACCCTGAGAGGCTCTTAAATAATTTGTGCCCTTGGCTTTGTTGGGAAGGAGATAAATGGATCTGAAAGACAAATGATATTCCTGCAAATATTTTCCAGTGAGCTGATGTGGGAATGAGACAGAATGTGTGGCTGATTTTCCCAAGATTCTGCTGATGCATTTATCCATGGTAATAGTGGGTACAGAATTCCTCCTTGGAAAGCCTGCTGGGAGAGGCAGGACCATGGGGCAGCAGGTGGAAATAGCCCTTGGGACATTGCCATGGCATTGCCTGGAATGGGGATGCACATGGGACAGGGCATGGGAATGCCAGTGCAGGTGAGGATGGGGACTGGGATTTGAATTTGAATGGGAATTTGGATGGGGATGGGAATACAGGTGGATCTGGGTCTGGAGATGTGGATGCAGAAGGGGATGGGAATGCGGGTGTGGATGGAGACACAGAAGGGGATGGGGATGGGAATGCTGACAGGGACGTAGATGCACACTGGGATGGGAATTTGAATGGGAATGGGAATGTGGATGGATCTGTGTCTGGAGATGTGGATGGGATGGGAATGCTGACAGGGATGGGAATGCAGACGTGGATATGGAAATAGGTGTGAATGGGAATTGGGATGGGGATGCAGACGGGTCTGGAGATGCAGATGTGGATGGGGATGCAGATGTGGATGGGGATGCAGATGTGGATGGGGATGCAGATGTGGATGGGGATGCAGATGTGGATGGGGATGCAGAAGGGGATGGGGATGCAGATGTGGATGGGGATGCAGATGTGGATGGGGATGCAGAAGGGGATGGGGATGCAGATGGGTCTGGAGATGCAGATGTGGATGGGGATGCAGATGTGGATGGGGATGCAGATGTGGATGGGGATGCAGGTGTGGATGGGGATGCAGATGTGCAATCCCACGTTCAGTCCCTAAGGAGGTCCCAGTCAGAGTCAGGCTGAGGCTCACAAGGGGAAGCTCTGGGATCTGCTGATGGAGCAGCTGCAGAGCGAGGGGCACAGCTGGAAGAGGAACTCACTCAAATTGCCATTTCTCTCAGAATTGCAGGTTTTTCCTAAACCCTTTAGAAACAGGATTGCTTCCACTCCACTTCACAAACAGGAGCACCTGGGGTCTGGGTGAAAATCCCCTGGGAAGCACAAAATACATCCTGGGTGAGGCTGTGGGATGGCTCCGAGGCCTCCCTGGCAGTGGGAGCAGCATCCAGTGCTAAAAACCCTGTTCCTGGGTGAGGCTCTGGGATGGCTCCGGCTGTGCTCCTGCAGATCTGAGGCCTCCCTGGCAGTGGGAGCAGCATCCAGTGCTAAAAACCCTGGATACAGACAGAGTTTTGTCTTGTGATCAGCAGCAAAACCAGCACTGATTCCATCAGCAGTAGCATGAAGTGGGATAAACTGGAATTTTCCTGGCTGTGTGTCACGTTCCGTCCCGCTCCCCGCCGCTGCAGCCCCGCTGTTGTTTTTCCTGTGCCTTCCCAAGTTCCTTTCCTTTTCTCCTGGCTCCTGGCGAGCCAGGCAGGGGATGTGTTTGCAGAGGTGGATGGAGCTTCCTGAAATCCAAATGTCACATTTCCACTTGGCTGCGTGAGGAGCAAATGGCAGCGTAATTCTATTTGCAGATTTCTACAGAGAGTGGTTAAAAATAATAGTAATAATAATAATGATGGGGAAAAAAAAAAAAAAGCAGGATTTCTTCTGGAAGCCTCCAGCAATCCATGAACATCATCCCCCTCTGATTCCCAGGGGTCACCAAGGTGGCCAGGTCTGGTGCTTGAGGGGACTTTTCTCCGCAGTGGGAGGAAGAGGAAGGGCAGTGTTGTGCCTCTTAGTCATGGATTTTATTCCCTGTTAATCTTTTGGAGCTGGCAGCGATGGATGTGGGAGCAGATTGCTGGTGAGGCCTTCGAGGAGGAATAAATGTATTTTGTAGGGCTTGCTGATGGGTTGGAATGTGCTGATGAGGGGCTGGTTTTGTGTGCGTTCATGGATAGGAGGGAAATGTGGAATAACTGAGGAATGCTCTGGGATCTGACAAGTCCCATTTGCCCTTACAGCTCCTGCTGCTTTAGTCCCAGGTTTCTCAGGTAGCCCTGGTGTCCCTTTGGCAGCAGCAGCTTCAGAAAGTCTGTAAATGTAGGTGGGAATTTCTCAGTTCTGCCCCTTCCGCTGGTGTTGGCTCCTTTCCCCTTGGGAATGACGATTTAACAGCTGTAGAATCCTAAAATCATGGAATCCTTATGGTTGGAAAAGACCTTTAAAGTCATCAAGTCCAACCATCAGGCCACTGGCCCATGCCCCCTGGTGTCACATCCACAGGGCTTTGAAATCCCTCCAGGGATGAGGACTCCACCACTGCCTTGGACAACCCTTTCCATGAAGGAATTTTCCCTAATATCCAACAAAACCTCCAAACAAGGGCAGGCCAATGATGCTTTTTTCTTTCTTTTTTTAATTTTTTGTTAACACATTTAAACCCCTAAAATCCATTTGATGGAATTGCTGAAGGATTTCCGTGCATCCCCAATTTCCTGGGACTGCTGGAATCTTTTCCTCCCTTCTCCTTGCAGGGATGACGTGCCAAGCCAGGACATCCTACACGGAGGACGAGGTGCTCTGGGGCCATCGCTTCTTCCCGGTGATCTCCTTGGAGGAAGGGTTCTTCAAAGTGGATTATTCCCAGTTCCACGCCACGTTCGAGGTGCCCACCCCGCCCTACAGCGTGAAGGAGCAGGAGGAGATGCTCCTCATGTCCTCGCCCCTGATCCCGCCCGCCGTCAGCAACAGCAAGGAGAGGAACAACTCCGTGGAGTGCCTGGATGGGCTCGACGAGGTGGGCACAAAGCTGCCCTCAAAACTGCAGAAAATCACCGGGAGGGACGACTTCCCAAAAAAACTGCTCAGGATGAGCTCCACCACCTCGGAGAAGGCCTACAGCATGGGCGATCTGCCCATGAAACTCCAGCGCATCAGCTCGGTGCCCGGCAACTCCGAGGAGAAACTGGGCTCCAAGACCACGAAGATGATGTCGGATCCCATGAGCCAGTCGGTGGCAGAGCTGCCCCCCAAGCTGCAGAAGCTCTCGGGGGGCGGGGGCAGGATGGAGGGGAACCTCCCGCCCAAACTGCGCAAAATGAATTCCGACCGCTTCACATAACGCGGCTGGCACCGCCAGGAGGGCAGCGGGGGCTGCCGGGGGGCTCGGGGCCGCCCAGGAGCCGGGGTGGGCTCGGGGGGGCCGGGGTGGGCTCGGGGGAGCCGGGGTGGGCTCGGCGCTCCAGGAGGCGGGAGCGTCCCGCGGGATTCTGAGCGAGGGCCGCGTCCTCGGCATGTAGGACCCCAGCGCATGCAATAATCGTGTGCAATCTCTGCATCTAGTCCGTGGCATGACTCCTCTGTATTTATACTCTGTACCCCGAAAAACACGCAGAGGGGCCTTCCTGCCCCCGCATTCCCGAGGGAGTAGGGACAACACGGAGCGGGGAACTTGCAGGGTAAGCGGAACTCGAGTTGAAAGCGTTTGGGTTTTGGTTTTTTGTTTTTTTTTTTTCCCTGCCGTGGGTCATGATTTGCTCACTCAACTTGTTTGCTGCATGTGGTTTTTTTTTTTCCTCCAAGGAGGTGTTTTAGTTCACCCCTCACATCGAATCTGCTCGCCTTAAATCCACTGCTGGTTTCTAGTTTGCTTTCAGGTTGGTTTTTTTTTGGGGGGGGGAGTTGTTCCCTGTGTCAAAGCCACCAGGAAAAATACCGGGGAGAAAAAATAAATATCTGTGTTTCATCAGGCTTTGTTTAGAAAAGAAACTTGTGTTCTCTAAGCCTGGCGCAAAAAGTGATAAATAAATGACTCAAGTTCACACTTTAGGTACAATTAGTAACATTTTTATAAAATCTTTGTGATTTATATGTGGAAGAAAATCAGCAGCATGTCCTTGATTTCTCTGATTGCTGAAACAGCCAACCGTGGAAAAAGCTGAATGTGCCCGTGGTGCCAAGCAGGCTCTTCTCTTGGAAGAACTGCACCCCCAAAACTGAGCCCCAATTCCCCCAGTCCCTCTGGGCCTGGATTTCCCTGCTCCCAAGCCTCGTTCCTGGGTGGTTTTGTGGTGAAAGCCCTGTTTGTCCTTGTTCCAAGCTGCAGCTCACCCTGGGGGCTCCAGAGCGAGCCAAGCCTTGGAGGAATGTCGAAGTGCTGGGGTTGGTTGCTCTGTGGCCGTGTTTGGGTTTCCTTTCCCACCTGGATCAAGGCAGGGTGGGCTCTGTGATGAGGCCTGGAGGTTTTGGAGCACCTCCCCAAAATCCAAAGGGCTGAGGTGTCCCTGGACCCCTGGGCTGTGTTTGGCCCCTTGGAGGAGGTTTGGGATAGAGGGAGGGATGGGTGGCACTGTCAGGGGTTGGGTGGGAAAGGCACCCACCCCACCAGGAGCAGGGCTCCCAGTGCCATGCCGTGGGTGAAACCCTTGGGATCACATCCAGCTGCTCCTGGCTGTGGGCAGAGGAGCATCCCTGGATGGGCACCTCTGCCTCCTGGCCCTCCCTGCAGCCATGCCAGCCTTGCTGGGTAATTAATGACAGGGCTGATGGGTTTTGAGGAAAAAATTGGGATTTTATAGATGCTGGCATGGAACGAGGACTTGGAAGCCCAGCACTGCTGGAGCTGGCTCAGCCACCAGTGTCCCTGGAAGTGTCAACGTGTGATTGTCACTGCACTCCTGAGGATGCTGGACAAGTCCCAGAGTTCCTTCCCGTGCTTTATCCTGATCTTACTCTTATTCTTTTCTTATTCTATCCCAATTCTGTTGTTTTCCTTATTCTGGTTTGTTTCTTATTCTTATTCTTATTCTTATTCTTATTCTTATTCTTATTCTTATTCTTATTCTTATTTTCTTCCTCTTATTCTATTCTAATTCTTATTATTTCTATTCTATTCTAATTCTTTTTTCTTTATTCTGTTATGACTCTTAACCCATTACTACTCTATCCTTTGTTCTTTACTCTATTTTCATTCCTATTCCATTCTAATTCTGTTCTATTTTATTCTATTTTCTATCCTACTTTAATTTATTCTAATCTCTTACTCTATTTCCTGTTCTTATTCTTGATCTATTTTTATTCTTATTCTCTTCTTAATATATTCTGTTTCCTATTCTTATTCCTGAGCTGGTCTTGTTCTAGTCTGTATTAACTCTGTTCTAACTTTAATTCTATTTTGATTTTATTTTCTAATTCTATTCTATTCTATTCTATTCTATTCTATTCTATTCTATTCTATTCTTATCTCTTTTCCATATCCTATCCTCTGCCATTTTATTCCATTATATTTCCTGACTCTGGCACAGCAGCCCAGATGCAAGTTGGGTTCCCCCAGGGAGACCAAATGGAAATGGAAATCAAATGGAAAACATTCCAGGGAGAAGAGCTGGAGATGGGAAAAACCCTCCAATACCCCCCTGGAAGTGGGGCAAAAGCTGGAAAAGGAGCCTCACTTAATGCAATAAAAACATCAAGTTCGGATTAAAATTCTGATTGATATTCTGATTAAAATTCTAATTAAAATTCTGATTAACTGTAAAATTCTGATTTTTAAATGAAAACGTGCCAAAAAAAGGCAAATATTAAGGGAATGATTGCAGTGATAAAACCAGTCTGGGTGCTGGGGGGGTTGTTGGATTTTCAATCCATCCCTGCTGGATGCAGAATTCCCAATTTGTGGCCGGATTGAGGTACAAGCACAGCCACGTCCATTTTTATTTTAGGGACTTCCTCGTGTTCATATTTCATTTTTATGGTGTGCTCACTTTATTTTAATTAACTAAAGAACATCTGAACCCAGCCCTTGCTTCTGCTCATTTAAAAGAACTGCAATTAACAATGATTGATTGATTGATTGATTGATTGATTGCACAGCCGGTCTGTGTTCTCTCCTGCTGAATTCCCGCTTGGATTCTCCTGGAAATTGTAAATATTTCGATTAAAATTAAAGAAATAAAAGAAATAAAAGCGTTTTTGGGCATGCAGTGTCTCCCTGGATAAATGTTCAAGTCTGGCTTGAGTTCTGCAGTAAACCCAAATCTTGGATTAAGGCTGCAAAGCTCGGCTTTATCTCCAGCTTTGTTAAACTGGCCCAAACTGGGCTGGTTTTAAGGTTTGTCACTTGTCCCCCCCCTTTGGTCACTTTAGCAAAATTACCTTACTGCCCTTCCCGTGGATCCCTGGGGGATTCTAGGGATCACCTGGGCCTGGGAAGGGGCTGCAGAATCCCTGAGGGAGCTGGGACGGAGCTGGAGAATCCCTGAGGGAGCTGGGAAGGGACTGGAGAATCCCTGAGGGAGCTGGGAAGGGACTGGAGAATCCCTGAGGGAGCTGGGAAGGGGCTCAGCCTGGAGCACAGGAGGATCCCCAGGGATCTTTTCCCTCTCTGGAATTCCCTGCCAGGAGGGCACAGCCGGGGGGGTCGGGCTCTGCTCCAGGGAACAGGGACAGGAGCAGAGGGAACGGCCTCAGGCTGGCCCAGGGCAGCTCAGGGGGGATTTGGGGGAAATTCCTTCAGGAAAAGGTGCTCAGGTGGAGTCCCCATCCCTGCAGGGGTTTCAGGGCCCTGTGGATGTGGCACTGGGGACATGGGGCAGTGCTGGGAATGTTGGACTCTGTGTTCTTGGAAGCTTTTCCAACCTAAACCCTGTGGGATTCTCTGTGTGGGATCACCTCGGGGAATTTCCTTGTCCTTGCCCTCCCCCAATGGACAATAAAATCCTCCTGCTCCATCCCACAGCTCAGCTGCATCACCCTCCAGGAATGCTGGGATGGGCTGCCCATGGAAACACCTTTTCCCACCTTTTCCCACCTTTTCCCAGCTGTCCCCTCGGTGCTGCTGCCAGGAGCTGTTCCAGAGCTCCGGCTGCAATCCGCCCCGTATCCATGGCCCGGTGTGGATCTCGTTTCCATGGCGATGGAGCACAGGAGCCGCTCAGGTCCTGGTGCCTTCAGCGGCTGCTTTCCCGCAGGTCTCCCTCACCCACACCAAAAATCCAACGCCTGGGGTGATCCATGGAGGAAACCATGGGGTGCATCCATGAAAATCCCTCCGGCAGCACCTCCTGAGGAAGTTGCGGGCTGTGCCAGCGCAGAGAACAATTCCTCAGCCCTGGTGGCAGGAATTCCTGTGAGGGAAAGGGAACAAAGGAAATCCAAGGTGCTTTCCTATGTCAGTCCTGTGGAACCAGAATTATCCCACTGGGGGCTGGAAAACCCAGAGGTGCCTAGACAGCCAGGAAAGGAGGCCAGGGAGAAAGGAGGCTCCAAAGCTGGAATATTATTTGGGAGGGAATTCAATCTAAAAAAGGATGTATTTCCAAAATATTCCCCTTTTGTCCTTAGCTCTGGAATCCCCCAGATCTGGTTTGGCTCCCACATCCATGGGAGAGCCCAGTGGGAGTTCTGCACCCACCAGGAGAGCTCTGGAATCAGGAGATGGTGAAATGGGAATATTAGCAAACCTTTCCACCTGGAAACACTGCAGGGAGCTGAAGTCATTCCCAGCATCCAAAATCCTGGAATAGAAATTTCTCTAGAGTAAAATCCGAATTATCACCCTCTTATCCTGCCGTGATTCACATCCCAGCTGACAGGGCCTCATCTCTCCTCTCCTAAACCTTCACCGTCCCAGACTCCTGTTTGGATCCCTCTTTTCCCACCGGGATTTTGGGATCAGTCACTTCCAGGAGCAGGGAATTGTGAGGGATGAGGGGCTCTCACCCCGGGGCTGCCCATGGTTCCTCCCAGTTCTGTTTGCTTTTAGAAGTCTTCAAACAGCAGCACTGGATCCCCACGGATCTGGGAGGGCCAAAGCTGAGGACAAACTGCTCTATCCCGGGAATTCTGAAGTGTTCCTGCTCCCATGGGATATTCTGGATGGGACCTGCCCTGTCCTGAAGGTTTCAGAGCATCATTCCAGGTAAAACAGACCACAAGGAATGGCTTTAAGTTGGGATTCCTTCCCAGAGTGAGCTTCAGCTGAACATCTGAAATACTTACCCTGCTTTACTTGAGACATTTTTGTCAAATCCTGAAAATCCAATGGAAAATCCTTCCTCCATCAGAAGACAATTCTTGGGAAAGGTGTGGGGGTTTTTTGGAGTTTTTTTGTTTTGTTTTGTTTTTGTTTGTGGGGTTTTTTTGGGGTTTTTTTGGTTTTTTTTGTTTGTTTGTTTTTGTTTTGTTTTGTCCCACCCTCAATTAGTCGTTTCCAGCAGTACAAACCTCCTGGGTTTTATTCCTCTTTTCCACTCCATTCAGGAGTGGCTCTGTTTCTGTACAACCCTTCCCACACAGCCCTGCTCCTGGCAGAGCTGGAATGCTGCATTCCAGCCTTTTTCCAGGATATTTTGGAAGTAGAGGCTGCGCGAGCACGGAGGAGAATTTCCAGCACTCGCTAAATCGTGCACTAAAAAGAGATGAATCCAGCCCAAAGAGTAGGCAAGCCACCCTTTGGAATGAGATCCTTGGAATTTCAACCAGAGGAATGTACCTTCATACGGAATCTGCTCCCAAGGAGGAAGGAATGAGGGAACAGTTACCCTGGGAGCTGTGGAATTCCAGTTCCCTGTGGAATTGTGACCCAATTCCCTGTGGAATGCAGCCCTTGGGGGAATGGGGCAGGAATTCTGCCACGGATGGTTCTCCGAACAACCCACGGGATAATAAACCTTAAATGAGAACAAATACATCAAAATCAAGGATTTCACTAAAGAAACCTTTGGGTTTTGTCTTCAGAGAGGGGAAAGCACCGACAGCAGGGAGGTCAGTCTGTCTGGGACTGACACTCCCAAACAAATCAATAAATTTGTGTTTATTTTCC